CGCTCGGCGGGCGCGAGCTGCTCCCGCGCGCTCTCTCCGCGCCTCCGTTCACCTGGGGGGCGCACGCGTCCGCCCGCGCGCGGCCGGGACAAAGAGCGCGGCGGGGACCCGGCGGGCTGGCCCCTGCCGCCTTTGGCCGCGGAGCCCGTGCCTGAGAGGGCGGGGGCGCGGGCGCCGTCTCGCGGGGCTGCTGTGCCGCGCGGGGTGGCTTCCGGCCTGAGCCCGCCTCCCGAGCGAGGCTGCCCATTGGGCTACCCACCCCGCAGGCTGGGTCAGGGTGCCTTCGGGGCGGGCGGGCGGAGCGAGGTCATCCTCGGGCCTGGCCACATCCCCTCTGCTGGCGCTGGGGCCCCTGGGGACGCTGGGCCCGTCCCCAACCTGAGCAAGGGCCCTGGGCGCGTGGTCGGGAGCTCCCCGCTACCCCGAAGACTAATGGGTATCGCTGACAAGCCCAAGCAGAGGCAGGCCCAGGAAAGCCGCCTCTTGCCCCTCACGTGAACTAAAGGGGCAAGAGGGGGTCTTGGGCATTGAGGACGGGAAAGAAAGGAATTTGAGGCGATGGTACCAGCCTCTGCCTCTCCTTGGCTGTCACCCAGCCTTCAGATGCTTTGAAAACTTAAAAATCCAAAATGATTTTTTTAAATGTCCCGCTCAAGATTTTTTTTAAAGTGAGGGAGGGGAGTTAGGAGGTTGAAACCTCCCGGTTTACTGTGGGGCTCTTCTGATGTGTCTGCTAGATGCCAGTTCTGGGAAGAGATGCCTTGAGTGCTTCTTGGTCAGAAGGTCAACACAGAAAAGCTTCAGATGGGATAGCGACGGTTAGTTTTGGTCTATCATTCTCTCTTGCAGTCGTCTCCAGGTGGACTCTGCAGTTTTTGCTCCAGGCACGCAGAAGCCAGAAGTACAGAAACTTCCTGTTTGCAGTCCAGACTTCTCCAACTACTGACAACTTGCTCCAGTGATGGAGCCCCAAAGGAATTTGTGGATTCCTCTCCCACAAGCGTCCAAGGGCAGGGGTTCTGGGAGAATGTGGAGTTCACAGAAGGAGTGAGAAGGGCAGAGTCAACAGATGAGCTAAAGTTAAAGGGAAAAAGACCGAGTCAGTCAACATACTTATTTTTTCCTCCAAACAAAAGTTTTGGTAGAGGGTTGCTTACAACCCTGAGAATAAGTTACATTTCTGTAATTTTCCAAAGACGCAGTCATTCAGTGAACTTTATTGAGGGCTATTCTGCTAGGTGCTGGACACGCAAAATTCACTCATTCAATCGTTATGTGACTAAAGCAAGGTCCCATTATGTGCTAGAGCTCCCAGTCCAGAAGGAGAAGGGTTCATTCAAGTTCACCAGGTTGTTGAGGAAGGCTACTCCAGTCAGAATGAACAACGTGTCTCAAGAAATGGTGAAGAAAGTGTATGGTGTCTGTGTTGACAAGCATTTTGATTTGGCCAGATCAAAGAAAGCTTGTGGAAGGAGCTTGTTAGTGAAAATATAGACAGAAGGTCCCCTCCAACTTTTACACTGTGATGCTACAGCAAAAAGCCAGCCAATTTGGAGCTTGGACTTTGGAATGGGCTGCTGTGAAACGAAAGCTATCTATAAAAAAGGATTCTTTTAGGAAATTTAATATCACAGGAATAGCCTGACAGCCCAAAGGCCAGTGGACAGGATTTGGGTAGGGGCAGGAGATTGGGAGATAAAGATATTTAGCTGTGTTTTGGTAGACTCTTTTATAGAAGAAGCAATATTGAGCTGAAAAGCAAGGGAACTGGATTCTAATCTCATTCTACCAACTTTATGTGACTTCAGGGAAGTTACTTGCTCCAACTTCATTTTTCTCTTACGTAAAAGAAGGCTGTAGTAAAGATTCTGAGTCCTCTTGCTCAAAAATTCCATGATTCTTCCATGAGTTTAAAGTCATGGAGTTCCACTCAACATTCACCCAACGGAATACTTAGGAACTACCAAATGGTGGGAAATTGGAAAGAAATACAGGTGCTGCTGTTCCTGAGCTCAGTGGGTAGTGGGACAGCCAGAAATGTAGGCTACCGGATGAGCAGTACTGCATTAAAGAAGTGAACAGAATGAGTGGAACATTATTAATTATCAATTAATTAGTAATGGAATTATTAACTCAGTTTGGGGTCATGGGGTGTGGGTCAACAGAAGTAACAATCAACTGGGCCAGAGGGATCAATAGGTGATAACATAGATAATGCTCTTGGCAAAATACCTGGAAATAATAGGTGTTCAATAGTACTTACCATATTGTTAAAGTCACCATAAAGAGAATGAATGGCTCTGTAAGGTTAGGGAGAGCGGTGGCCTGCGCCCACAATATTAGGTGTCCTGTTACCTTTATTCCCATGACTAAAGAGGTCATTCAAGTGATTCTTTCCAGCTCACAGCTCTCCTCCAATGTAATGCAACATCACCATCGTGAACAGAAGCAACTTGTAAGTTATGCTTTGTTTCTCACATGACGGTTTTCCTCACAGGACACCCGGTTTTGTAATAATTTTCTCTCATGTTTTTGTCATGTCATGTATCATAACCTTGAAATTAGGGATCATGTTTTATAGGCACTTCTGAGGGTGTACAGATTTGACCTACAGCAAATTATTTCATAAAGTGTATAATATTTCCCATATGACTTCTCAAAATAATACTGCAAGCAAACACCAGCTACCATGAGAAGATCGATCCCTCTCTGTCCCCTATTTTTCTCTTGTTGGTGTGGGTCCTGCCAGCTTCTCATTCACAACTCTGAGTCAGAGGTAAGAGGAAAGATACTAAATCTAATTTCAACGGATATTGCCACAATTACCTTCTCTCCTCTTTTCCCTCAAATTTTGTGACCAAAGGGAGCGGTCACAAGAGCAGACAAAGAAGACCCCGGAATCCTTTAAATCTCCCTAGTTTGGGAAATGCTTTTTTTTCTTGGCCTTCAATGTGTCTCAGTGTTATATATGTATATAAGTATATCTGTATATATCCAAGAATTCTACAGGAATGTGTCATTAATTGCCTAAGAAGTTTCTGAATTGAGTGATTATATAAGCTACAGTGAGGCTACAGATCTTTTTAACCAGCCACCATGGCCAACAGCATACCTCACACATAACGGATGTAGAATAAACACTTATTAATTTATTTTGTTGATTTCAGAAGGCTTTTTTTGTTTCCTTCATCAATGACTTTTCTCACTATCCCTTCATTTTTCCCCTTTCTTTTTTTCAGGCTGTTTCAGATGCTACTCAGTTACTTGTATCCTTTTATATTCCGACTATAAAATTTTCTCTTTTCTACCCATGAAAATGGGATTGGTTTAGTAGGAAGTCATTTCTTGGCCCCAGCTTGGTTTAAGAAGCCATGTTTGCCATTATTAGCTTCAGTGTCTCTGGACCCCCAGAGTCCAATGCACTGCTTAACATCACTGTGTTCCTCCATTGTGTTGTATATGGAAAACCTGCTGTGTGCCAGACCCTAGCATGGGCCCTGGAAATGGAAAGGTGCTTAAGCCTCTGTTTGACTTCAAGGACGTCAGGGCAAAACTCTGGTCATTTCCTGCTTTTCTCCTTTGAGGTAACTCTGAGGGAGGGTAAATATCAAAAAGGGTTCACGTCTTTATTCCATAAAGAGCTTGTACGCATTAAATGAAAACATAAGCACCTTAATAGGGCAAAAGGCATGAACAGAAAAAATTTTTTAAAAACACACGTTTAATCTTAGTAAAAAGAAACAAAAACCTTGCTAGCTATCAAAAAAGGGAAATAAAAATTAGATACCTATCAAAACAACAAAAACAGATTTTAGTGATTATAATAATTGCAGGCAACTTGGTAAAAAATAAATTTCTTTTGTCCATTTCCAGTGGCAGTGAAAACTGGTATAAGCCTTTTGAAAAGCAGTTTGGAAGTTAATATCAAGAGCCTTAAATGTGTTTATACCCTTTAACCAAATTTCTCCATTTCAAGAAATGTATCTTAAGGAAACATTCTAAATGTGAAAAAAACAACATAGAAAAATTGGAAATGTCCCACTGTAGGAAAGCAATTACACAAACTGATTCACCCATATAATGAAATTTGCAGGTATTAAAATAATACACATGAGGAATATGCAAAATTACACAGATGGATTATAATAAAATGTTAATGAGGGCAGCATTTTTCTATTTTGTGAAGTCAGAGCCTGACTTCAATGCCTAGCAAGGTATCTGGCACAAAGTAAGTGCTCAATAAATATTTGCCAAACAAATGCATGGTAGCTTTACAGCTAGCAAGACAAAAATATCTGAAAGGAACATATTCTAAAAGGTTAAATTATGCTTATATTTTAGAGCAACTATGAATAAGCTTTCTCACTCTTTCTATATTTAGTTCTTTTCTAATTTTCTTAATAAGCAGGTACTACTTTTATAACAAGAAGAAAAAGATGTGACTAACTGGAAAGGTATATATTTAGTGAAAATAAATACTGTTTAACAGGTTTTTAAATTAAGTTATTTTATAAATTAAAAGAAATGATGAAAATTCAAGTGGACTGTTTTAGAATTTGTGAAAATTATAAGGTTGATATAAAAAACATAGGCAAGACCATTTTTTAAATCATTAAAAATCCATGTGAGGGACTCTACATTAAAACAATAAACTCTAGCTCAAGGACAGATAGATCACTGAGACAGAAGAAGTAACCAAGATCTAGGTGATTTAATATATAACAAATAAAACTACCTAAATCACAGAAAAACAAAGGATTATTCAATTAGTGATATTGAGGTAACTAGTTAACAATATGGACAAGCTCACATTTAGAACCATGCCTTATATCATACATCAACATACTTGTAAATTATAGATGAATTCAAGACTTAAGTTTTTAAAATGTCACGCCTTAGAAACAGAATAATTTGAGTATTTAACGTAGACAGAAAGGAATTATGACATGCTACACTAAAAACCAACAGAAAAGAGTCACAGAGGAAAATACGTATTTGGCAAGGTACAAAAATTGAATCCTCAATATGTTTCCTGACACACATTTACCTACATGTACCAAGTTGAAACAATAAGAGACAAAACAGCTTGTACTATAAAAAAGACTAATATATCACATATAATTCTGTATAGACTTATAAAAATGTCAACTCATCATAGACAGTTAAAGGACATGTTAGAAATTTGAGGTTATTAAACTGTATGTTGCCTTAAAAAATCTAAGAAATATATATTAAAATGAGGTACTACATTCTTGTCCACAAAGTTTTCAAATCTAAAAACTGTATGATGCCAAATACCTGTGAGACTATTACGAGAAGGGTACTTTTCTATATTGCCAGTGGCATTGTAAATTGCTATAAGCTTTTTTTGGAAAGCAATTTGGCAATGTGTTTCAAGAATCATAAAAATGTTCATACCCTTTAACCTAGTAATTCTACTTCTGGGAATCTATTCTAAGGAAATAATCCAAAATATTAAAAAATGCCATATGCCTGACAATGTTTATCCCAGTGTAATTTATACTATATAAAAATGGAAACCACTCAAACTGTCCAACATAAGGACTATGCTTTAGCATATTATGGTCCATTCACTCAGTGGAATATACATGAATATAAAACTGAGTATTATAACTATCATTTTCATCATCAATTTCACCTCATTGATTAAATCCCTTTCTATGAGATCAGTTTATGTTTTGCTCAGTTAATAAGACTAACAAAAAGATGTTGTGCAACAACTTTTTAACTGATAGTTTTATTTAATATTATGCCATTTAGATTTTTCTGAGATGCTTTAGCGTATCTGTGTGTGAAATCAGGTTAAGTGTATTTTTTCTGCTTCAGAAAACAAATCGTATACACAATATGATTGTAAAATGTATAAAAGATTTGGAAGAAATGCGCAAACACTCATTTTGGGTTAAGGGTCTGCTTGCTTGTGATTCTGGCCACCTTTTCTATATTGCACAAGTGGTTATCTCATTGGAAGAGATTCAATAATAAGTGGCATGCTTTAATTTGAGGCTACAAACGAAGTAGTTTAATTTGACATAAATAAGCTTACATTTTAGTTGAATATCTTTATAGCTAAAGAAGTAAAACATTTTTAAATGGGGATACTAATTAAGTGTTTGAGAGTTATACTTTAGGTTTTTGGTTTTTTTTAGGTCCAAATTCTAGAGGTTTATCATGATTTATAAAAGATCTTAAAGATATGCCTGGTAAAATGTCAAAATGCATATGATTTTAACTTCTCTGGATTATAATATTGTAAAACAACTCAGATTGAGTAAACATCAGAGTGTGATGTGACTGGGTCAAAAAAACGGTAATTTTCAGTAAGACTATCCACCCAGTGTGTGGTGGCGGAAAGTAGCATACCCAAATTGGACTCATAAAGTAATGATCACTCAGTACCAGTACATAAAATCCAAGAAAAGGATATTGAAATACTAGTTAGTCTTTTTTGATCAAGGACATTGAGTCTCAGTGACACTAAATGACTTTCCAAAAGTCTTAAAGGTAGCTCTTGACAGAACTGGAGACAGAACTTGGAATTCTGTTCCTATTCCACTATAATGTCATATCTATCAGGGCATGTAGTCCAGTTTCCCAAGCTCCTGTAGGGATGTCAAAACGATGTCATCAGAAAGTTCTTTTCTCATAGTGTAACAATCTTTCCTCACCCTTGTTCATAACCATGAGAAAGATCTTCTCTGATACAATGATATAAATTTGGTAATCCTGTTGTAATCACTCATAAGACACTATATATTATATAATACTTATCTCAGTTTCTAAGTAAATATTTGTGTGATTATTTCTTTAATACTTTCCTCCTCCTACTAGAATGAGGGCAGGGACCATATCTGTTTTTGTGCCTAATATAGTGCCTGGCATATAATATTTAGTAAGTAACTTCTGAATGAATGGATTGTGGAGTTACCTTCACACTCAAAGTAAATTGAAGGAATGTTATAGAATAACAACAACAACACAAAACAATTGTTTTTCACACTGCCTAATATAGGTCTGACAAGTTTGCAAACTTGTTGCAAAAATGTTGCTAACATTTTTTGATATCAGAGGGATAATTCATTTTGAATTTGTCCCAGCTGGACAAACAATTAACCAAGTTTACTGTTATATTTGGAAGTGCTGAAAAGGCTGTGTGAAAAAGTTAGATAACCTAACTTTTCGCCAACAATTTATGGCTCTTGCATCATACACCAGCTCACATGGCACTGTCTGTGAGGGAGTTTTTAGCCAGTAAACAAATAACTATATTGGAATACCCTCCCTACTCACCTGAGCTGACTCCCAATGACTTCTTTCTTTACCCAAAGATAAAGGAAATATTGAAAAGAAGATAGTTTGATGACAGTAAGGACATCAAGGGTAATACTATGAAAGCTCTGATGGCCTTTCCAGAAAAAGAGTTCCAAAATTGCTTTGAAGGGTGGAAGAGGTGCTGGCATCAGTGTATAGCTTCCCAAGGGAAGTTCGGTGACTGTAGTGATATTCAGCAATGAGGCATGTAGCACTTTTTCTAGGATGAGTTCGCGAACTTAATTGTCCGACCTTGTATATTTATAGATCTGATTTTCATGAAAAGTAGCACAGGCCAAGCATACAGTTAATGGAAGGACAATAGATAAAAGGACAAATAAATTGAGGGTGTTTGGTATGTGCCCCTAACCTCTGACATACATGTCAGAAGAACAATGACCACATTTTCTCACCAAACTACTTACAGAACCATGGTCAGAGAATGAATATTGGTTTATGTTCTTTTCTAAAATACAGCAGGGCAGCAAAATTTTTCTAGCCTACTTTATAAAATATCTACATAGAAGAGATCAAGTTATGTGTTCTACAAAGCTAAATGCTAGCAATTAAGATTAAAATCAATCAACCTCAATCAATCTCAGACCCATTGGCAGAGGTATTGAAAAGGACTGATAGAAAAATAAAACTGTTATATATTTGGTCCAACTTTATCTAGCTCTTAATCAGAAAATTGTGGTCATTGATCTAGAAACCTGGCATCTTGGGTTCTAGTTCTGATTACATTGCTTCAGCCTTCTAAGATACCAGATTCCTCAGCAGCAAAATGAGAGTCTGGAGGTTTTTTCCAATTCTAGGATCCCTATGATTTATGCTATTGTATAAGGAACTGCTGTTGAACAAACAAAATTAACTAACATGGCTGGTAGTGCGTTTTTAAACATTCACATTGCTTCATGGCAAGACTTATGCCAGAAATGATTTAAGGTCATATGTATCCACACAAGTTGATTAACTGTTAAAATTCAATTTGGCCTTTAAAAATGTGAATGTCTTTCTTATATAAAGGCTACTATAACCAGCCACCCCACCTCACCGCACTCTCAGTTATTTTGGTTATATGAATATATATGCACCCAAACTAGCTGTCAGTTTAATTGGGGGAAAAATATACTAGTAATTCTAGTTATTTGGAATTTTGTAAAAAAAATAACCAGTGTCCTTTTTAATAAGGTTGTTTACATCGGGTGAGATATCTACTTCCTGGTCAGATTAATGCTAAACTTAATTTTTTTTTCTTGTCCCTAGGAAAAAGAAAAATTTTTAAAGTTTGTAACTTACTGATAGCCATTTTGGCCACACACTAAAACCCCCTACATAATAGAACTTACGAAATACAATTATTCACATATCTGAGACTTTATTTGTATAACAAATGTAACAAGTGCCTTTTAAAAGACACAGCACAGGGCTAGAAGATATGTGCCAAACAAGATATGAAACCCTCTGTGCTCTAAAGTGTTTATAATCTAGCAGGATGGTTTAAGGGAGAGGGTTTCAAGGTCCAAGAGCAGGAGTTTCCTGACTAAAAATCAATGGCAGAATTTCATTCACCTATTCTTCACATAATAAGCAACCCCTTAGACTTTATTGCCTTCAAATACATTAGAGGAAAAGCCAGAGGATACAAAAGAAGGATTTATATGCTTATTCAACAAACAAACATTGAGCACCTATTCAACAGATGAGAAAAATGTATTTTTGAATGTAGATGGCATGTCCTTCAAAACACACACACACACACACACACACACACACACACACACACACACACACCAAAACAAAGAAACAAAAAAAACCAAAAAACAGGGAGCAAGCTCTGAAGAAGTAGGCTCTGGATGAATAGATGGAAATCAAGTTCTATCTTAGGCTAATTCTATGGTTTAAAAAATCAGCAGTTGAATTATTATTATTTTTGCACTGTAGCAAGCTACCCCCCACCCCCTTTTTAAAGTAGAATAGAATAAAGCTATGATACTTCAGATATTGGTTTCTTTCACTGACTCCCTGACATCAAAGCTGTACACCCAGTGCCTAGTGCTCTGTTGAAGCTCAAGGCAAGCACATCTGCAACATTTGTCTTTTATGCTGTACTTTATATACATTGACTTATTTCATACTCTCAATAGCTCCAATTGAGGCAGGTACTGTTGTTATATTAATGTTACAGATAAGAAAATAGGCTCACAGATAAAGCGATTGGCTCAAGGTCACATGACTAGTAAATGATGGACTCTGGCTGAGAAACCTATGCTCTTGACCGCTATGCTATGCCACTTCTAAATAAATAAAAGTGGCATTCCAAGTGAGGGGATGGAAAGGAGGAGAAAGAACTAATAGCATTGTTGGCCCCACAGTCAGAAGAGAAAGAATTGGGGCCTTTGGGACGGGCTGGAGATGTTGATAGCCAGTGAAGAATGGGGAAGCGCTGGGTTTTAGGCATCCCAGGGGGGTTACTTTTTACCTTTGGATGGTGGGATTAACAGAGACTGTCCAAGAAGAGTGAGATATGTAAGGAAACTCCTGTAAAAATTAAAAATGATTTGTCATCCTTTTGGGCAATTTTTCTCCTGCCAATCTCTATCTCGTTCATTTTCTTTATGCTATTCCTTCCTTTGTCCCTTTTCTCTGTTATCCCTTTTAGCCTGTTACAACATTGACCTACATTTTAAATTATTGTATTTATTAAATCAAATGTATATATTATCTCTCTCTGCACTTCTTTTAAAAGAAAACAACTGAAGTTATTTAAAAATTGTTCCTTTATAGTGTGATACATGCAAGTCAGTGACTCTTAATAGAAGAAAAGTCTCCCAAAGTGGACTAACCCCTAAAAAGTAAGAGATTATGAAAATAAATCTTGGTACTCTATCACTTCAATATTATAAGAGATGGCCAAATCTTAGATACAAAGCATTTTCATGTGGAAATTTATAATTTTCTTTTGAATTTTAAAAATGTCTCCAAATTTAGATTTAAGAACATTTTAACATTGATTAGAGTCTTCACTTTATAATATTTATATTTATATATATATTTTTATAATATAATGGGCAAGAGTTCATTCATGCCCAATGTCAGCTAGGGGGTAGTTCACAAAATGCTGAAATTTGGGGGTTTCTGAAAAGAACACTAAATCACTGATAAGTTATATCTGTGCATTTAACTGAAAAGAACACTAAAACACTTATAATTTATACTTGTGCATTTATCATGTGCGTATATAAAAATAATAATCATTTACAGGAGTTGTCTAAAGAAAATTCTCAACATCATCAAGCAATCTGTGCCTTGTCTGGTACAAACAGCATATGAAATAATGATTTAATCTGAGCATATTTAGTCTAATTAGTAAAACAGTACAAATATATATGTGTGTGTGTGTGTGCATGCGCGCACATGTGTACAAATAGTCAATTTGAAACAACCATTTGTTTGTTAAAGACCGAAAACAAGGATCAACATTGCAGCATTTCCAACCAACCACAGGACCTGATAAACCTCATAACGTAGGTGCTGCAAACATGGAGTAAGAGACTGACGTCAGGAGCATACAGGTGGGCTCTACATTGCCTGAGCTAAATCACTGCAATGTGTATAGTGTGGTATGCATGATGGACAATCCAAACAAAAGGGATCCCATTTTAAAGAGATTGATTTGGGGTGAGGGAAGGTGATGTGATATTCGTCTCTGTATAGCTTCTTAAAACTGATTTACTGCAATGGCTTGTGGAAGTAACAGATGTTTATTTGAATGAATATTCATTGGCTGACATCAAGTCCCAGTAGATGACACTTTCCTCTTAAGAGGTCATATTTTCCTCTTATGTAGTGTTTGCTATTGCGGTTGCCAATCGTCTGTTTAGAAGACATAACACTAAGGAGCTATGTAAAGTGGAGTATTGATGTATAATGATGAAGAGCCTGAACCAGAGGTAATATGCTAATTAGAAATAGCAATAATGCCAGATATAAACATAGTGACTTACCTTATCCTTGACAGCATCATGATAGCTTCTCATCAACCAATCATGAATTTTCTTTTAAATTACTTTATTAGTACACTGCTTGAGTTGTAAAAACATTTATTTAAGAAAGAACATTACCAAGAAGCGAGGTGACTTTAAATCACCATAGAAACCAAATAAAGGACTTTATTGTGAAGAAGCTTTAAAAAAAAATTATAAAATTTTGTATGAATAGAAATTATTTGGAGCCTAGCTGCATTTCTACCATGGGCTATATAAAATCTTGCTTTCTTCTATGTATGTTTTTAGAGAAAACAGCAATATCAGAAGTACAGATAACCTGTTACAATTGTTTATTTCATAAATTCACACATTGGGCCAGTTTATCATACATAAAGTTACTCTGGCTCTGCAAAAGATTATTTTGGCAGAAGTTTTATTACTGTGTCAAATTGTCTTTTAAGAAACTTGGCCAGGATTACTGCCCGAGATGGTAAGTTATAAATTTTAAAACTTATTACTATATACTCCCACTCCCCTCCCCCAAGACAGGAATACTATTGAATATTCTGGTGCTATGATCCAAGTACAAATTTGTTACAGAATTCCAGAAAAGAATAAGATAATTTTAACAGAGTTACAATAAGATAATGATCTGGTTATATTTCTTGGTCCCTGAAATGCCAAGGGTATTTAGCAACATAACTTAAGTCTCTATTATCTATGGTCTTAGGAACAGATATAACATATATACATTGAAATCTGTAGCTAATTCAAAGTATCACCATTAAGCCATTAGAATTAGCCTTCTTTCTCAAACTCACAAATATGTTTTTTTACTATATAACCATTTATATTAGTGGTTCTCAACTTGAGCTGCACATTTGAATCACTTGATGATGACCAGGGAGCTGTTAAAAATCCTGATGCACAAGCCACATTCCTGATTAATTAAATCATAAGCCCTGGGGGTAAGACCCATACTTGGTAGTGTTTTAAATGTCTCTCAGGTGATTCCAATATGCAGTCAAAGCTGAGCACTACTTAGAGGTAAGGATGGGGAGTATCAGTGAGGAGGAGAAACAATAAGAAAAGAATATCTATTTACGAAGTTAAAGAGTAAATGTCAGCAAGTGTTCACATTTTTATAGACCAATGATATGTAGAAAAAGATTACTGGGCTATTTTTTTCCTGATTCCTTTAAAAATCATAACTTCAGTTCCATCTTTTATATGACAGGGTAAATTTCCAGATTATAAAAGTGTTTACTGGGCCAGCCGAGTGGCTCGTTGGTTGAGAGTTGGCTTGGGAGCATGAGCTCTGAGGAGCAGGGCCGCCGGGTCAGATCCCACATGAGGGCCAGTGATGCTGCGCCCTCTACCGCTAAGATGGTGAACAAAAGCTTGACCTGGAGCTGGGCTGCCGTGAGTCTCCAGCGATGGTGTAGGCTGCAGTGGGGCTGCAGTGGGCTGCTGTAAGCTACCGTGAGTGGTCGGAAGCCAGCGTGAGCTACTCTGAGCGGCTGTCCAATGGCCGGTGACCGATCTGCCTCACCCGGGAAAAGCGCAATGATCACAATACCAACACGGGCCAGTGAAGCGACGTCCTCCACAACTAGACTGAAGAACAAAAGGACAACTTGTCTGTTCCCCTTCCCCAATTCCCCAATGCTGCTCCCTCCCCCAATTCCCTAATAAAAAATGTTTAAAAATAAAATAAATAAATAAATAAATAAATAAAAGTGTTTATTATAATTGAAATACAATAGTGATATGTTCCCCCTATAATTCAGTATATCATAATTATTTTTAATTTTTGGAGTTTTTTGCATACAATTAGTTTTAAATAGATACCTAGCAAATATATTAATTCTAAAACTACATAATATACATACTATTGCATAGTCATGATGCAAAATGAATAATTTTCATATGGTGTTTGGAGGTAACAGGGATGTCCTTGGGAAGTGCATTTTAGCCATTCTCAGTTTAGGGAAAAAATGATAAATCTATATTTTGTGCTGTTACTCCCTGAAGTTTGTTCATTTTCATAAAGTATGTTTTTCTGAGTTATAAGCATTATGTAAGTAAGAAACATGAATTACAGTATCCACAAAAAAGTTCCCCTTAACTTTAATGTAATTTCGGTAAGTTGGAAGCAGTGATTTATTTGCTTAGATATAGTTAATATAATTAACAGAGAAGGCAGTATGCACAGTGATTAGATTCAAACAAACCAGGGTTCAAAACCTAGCTCTGGACCTCCTAGCCACGTTTCCTGGAACATATCATTTACCTCGTCCAGGACTCACTTTTTTCATCTTCAAAAGGAGCATATTTATATCTACTTTGCTAGGTTGTTAGTTGTGGGAGATTATATGTGGAAATGTTGACAGAGCTTTTAGCAGTAGTGCCAGACACATAGTAACCCCTGAATAAATGGTAGTTATTTTTTAATTATTCAAGCAGGTTTTTAAAAAACCTATTCCCCCCACGGCCTGGTAATACATGTTGTTGTTTTTTTATAACTGCCCACCACAGACTTTACATTCAAGAGGGTGATAGGAAACCTTTTTATATTCTTAAATTTAGGAGAGTGTTAGTTGTTGCACAGCTGCATTCGTGGCCATGTGAGTTGAGTGCAGAACCCACCATGATCATTCACTGAGGTACCCCATCCTGTGACCAGATGGGAAACATGCAATGTGTGCCTCAGGAGAGCTAAAAACACCTCTCCCATCTTGGGCCATCTGAGTTACTACTGAAGAGTGGGTATCAAGAATGTTAAATCATCATATTCGGGGCAGGGGGGAGGGGGCCTTCCAATTCTCTATATATTGTATTTCATTGATTCTAACAAGCACATTTTAACATCTCTGAAATCAAAATGTATGATCTGATCGATAATGTCTTAAATCATTCTCAGCCAGGCAGCGCTTCTGATGTAGCTGACATTGCCTGTGACTCCATGAACTTGGCCATAGCTCTTCATATTGTTGTGATGAATGATAAAGACCCAAGGCCAAGTAAGTTTAAAAAAATTCTTTAAAGAACTGTAAAATGAAAATTCTAAGTGATAAAAAACAGTGTCATAGTTTACTTGGCAGTGATTTTTCTTCCTTAATGGCAAATAAAATAATAATGCATCTTAGAATCTAATCTTTAATTTGATGTAATAGTTTGTATAATCGTTTGCAATGGTTTTTGCGAAGCAATTTGATAGTATGCTTCTAAAACTTTTACAATGTGGGTATATCCAACAATTTCAATGCCCATAATTCATCCTCAGGGAATAATCAAACTTAAACCACCATAATTTTTCTGTCTCAGTTGCTGTTTGGTCTAAGATTATTAATGTGGTAGGCAGAACAATGCCTTCCTCCAAAAAAATAGATGTCCATACCCTAACCCCTAGAACCAATGAATATGTAAGGTTACATGGAAAGGGAAATTAAGGTTGCAGATGAATTAAGGGAGTTTATCAGGTAATTTTAAAATAGGGAGATTATCCTGGATTACCCAGGTGGGTGACAAGGAGCATTAAAAGTGAGAGACTGAGGCAGAAGAAAAGTGACAGAGGAGATGAAATGAAGCAAGAAGTTGCAGTACTATGTTGTGGTGTGAGAAGCATTCCACCTGCTGTTGGTGACTTTGAATATGGAGGAGAGAGCTACAAACCACAGAACGTGGGAAGCCTCCAGAAGTAAGGCAAAGGCAAAGGCCCAAGGAGGTCCTGTCTCCCCTGGGCCCCACAGACGGGAGTGCAGCCTTCCCAACACCTTGATGAGAGTGAGACCCAGGTCAGATTTCTAATCTACAGAATAGCAAGAGAATACATTTTTGTTGTTGTAAGCCATTAAGTTTGTGGTAGTTTGTTATATCAGCAATAAGTAACTAATATACCTGATAAGGTAGAAAACTTTTTATGATTGTCCATATTAGGTCAATTGTTACTAGGCTTCTGAATTTAATATATCAGGAAAAGTTTCGAAAAATGTTAGGGCCAATTGCCAGCTTTTAATTATGCTGCCTTATTTGAAAGTATAACATCAAAATATTATAACACAGTTTTACAAAAGGATAATCATATAAATATATGACCAAATATTTAAATATATTTAATTTAGAAAAAATAAAAACAACAACTCATTGCATTGTCTTTATTTTTCTCATTTTATCCAAGGACCAATATAAATATCCCATATAGCACTACTTTATGATCAACTATTTGAAACCTCTGTAGTAGCTGCGTTTTGTTGATTTTCATGGCTAGATTTTAGAATTCCCCCAAACAGAAGGAGATTGGGATAAAAAAGACCAACAAAAAAAATCCTTAGATCACAAATTTTTAGTTCAGACTTCTCAGAGGTTTGCAGTTAGGCATCTTATGATTACTTTTGCTGTGATTTTTTTTTAATTCCTTCCTCATTTTTTCTTGCCATATATCCATCCACATGTATTATGATAGTTTTCTATGGCTGCTATAACAAATTACCACAAACTTGTTATCTTAAAAAAAAAATTATCCTTTTAAAGTTCTGGAGGTTAGAAGTCTGAAATCAGTTTCACTGGGCTGAATACAGG